AAGCTTTACTTTGAGTGAAAATAACTTGGCTTATAGCTGAATAATTACAGTATAACAAAATGATACCCTCAAGGTCACAAGTTTTTCAATTGTTATCACCTAGCTGTTGTTGATACAGCTTATGGCAACCTTCAGTAAATGCTGCAATGCAAATGCTGAAAATCTAATAAACACCTTGACTTTTGATCAAAGGAGCAAATTTTCCACAAAATTAACATTAAAAAAATTATGAGTGCTTGAAAATTTTAAATTCCATAAAAATCAATTGATGATTTGTTAAGACCAAAATTGAGACTGCAGACTGGGTACAAAGTACATGCTGCATCAAAATATTTCTCCCTTGCTAAACACAGCATACCAGCATGTATTAGTCTAAGATGCTGAGTGAAAAACACTTAATAATATTCCCTGGAAGAGCATTACTGTTAAAATGTCATAACTAAAACTTATCTCCCTAATATATTTCAATCAGTGTTTATTCACATTGTGTATACTGCAATCTTTCCCTTCAACCCTGTAACTCCAAATAGTAATTCTCCTTACTGTCTGCCATACCAGTCTTATGATGCTAGTTCAAAGAATTTGTTATTGGATCAAATAATCCCCTAAATGATACTTTTCTTTATTCTCATCACTTTTTTGTTTAACTGATATTGTCGGTAACCAGTCAACTCGCCGACGGACCAACTCGCCGACGCCAACTCGCCGACGTATAAAATCGAGTAGAGACGTCGGCGAGTTGGTCGTCAATCCAATACAACTTATTAGAAGTTAAACATACAGAGAAGTAAACGATATTTAGTAAAAAAACACTGGCGAACATTGGTGAACATCAAACAGAAGCTTAAACATGGGTGAACATTGGTGAACATCACCAATGACTATAACGAACGAGTTAATTGTGCGACAACAACACCGTAAAGACTCATCTTGTCAATCGCTCAGATTTTTTAACGAAAACTTGGCTTTCTAGACGAGATCTTTAGTAAAATGCAATTATTTTTATTTGCAACAAAGTTTATAAGGATCTTAAGGCGAATAAAGCGAAGTAAACCTCACCAACGACTCTAACAGCTTCAGACGCGAACGAGATAATTATTGTGTGACAACAACACCGTTAAGACTCAGCATGTCAATCGCTCAGTTTTTTTAACGAAAACTTGGCTTTCTAGACAAGATCTTTAGTAAAAAGCATTTCTTTTTATTAGGCAATTACAGAGTAAGGTGTTTGGATTATGGGAGAAATATGAAAATGGTGAAAGAACATCGGCCCAATTATTGAAATCGATGTCGAGATTAAACGGACCTACAAGAGCAGAGTAATTGCATGATATACATTACTTTCACATGTTCATCTGATCTTTATAATAAATGGAATTTTGTCGTTTTTATCGTAAATCAAACGTTCTCGATCATGAATAAATCTTTCTTTAAAGTTAAAAAAAAAACATGTGGTTCCGCGTGGTTGTTATGGTTGTCACACAATAACTGAATGTCAGACAACTCGCCCCCTGGACAATTAGCCCCAGACGATTAGCCCCCAGTCTTTGGACAATTAGCCCCCAGTCTTTGGACAATTAGCCCCCAGTCTTAGTTTATGTAAAGGAGAAGTTACGTTCATCTGTTGGTCATTGACTTTTATGAGTTTGTGGCTCCTAAAGGAGCCCTTTTTTTTTGTGGATGTCTATCTTTATTAACATTTAAATAAACACCGATTGACATTAACAAGTAGTCGCCAATAAGTTAAAGTTTCAAAGTTTCGTCCCTGGTTTCTTTCCTTTCCTATTTAAACAACATGACGGAGAAACATTCGTAAAGTATGTAAACAGAAAGAACACAGTTCATTTTTGTAGAATATATAAACAGAAAGAACATAGTTCACTTTATAATTCGATACGCACGGCAGAGAAACGTTCATAACAAGCAAACAACAAGACAGCAAGAACGTAGTTTACTTTATAATTTAACACGGATGGCAGAGAAATGTTCGTAAAAAGCAAATAACAAGAACATTGTTTATTTCATAATATATGATAGGGAAACGTTCGTAAAAAGTAAAGGGCAAGAACATAATTTATTTCAAGGTTGGTGGGTTGGGGGCTAATAATCCAGAGACTGGGGGCTAATCGTCCAAATACTGGGGGCTAATCGTCTGGGGCTAATTGTCCAGGGGGCGAGTTGTCCGGATACCACACAACTCGTTCGCGTCTGAAGCTGTTAGAGTCATTGGTGAGGTTTACTTCGCTTTATTCGCCTTAAGATCCTTATAAACTTTGTTGCAAATAAAAAGAAATACTTTTTACCAAAGATCTTGTCTAGAAAGCCAAGTTTTCGTTAAAAAATCTGACCGATTGTCATGATGAGTCTTTACAGTGTTGTTGTCATACAATAACTCGTTCGTGTTTGAAGCTGTTAGAGTCATTGGTGATGTTTACTTTACTTTATTCGCCTTGAGATCCTTATAAACTTCGTTGCAAATAAAAAGAATTGCTTTTTACTAAAGATCTTGACTAGAAAGCCAAGTTTCCTTTAAAATCTGACCGATTGTCATGATGAGTCTTTACAATAACTCGTTCGCGTCTTAAGCTGTTAGAGTCGTTGGTGATGTTTACTTCGCTTTATTCGCCTTAAGATCCTTATAAACTTTGTTGCAAATAAAAAGAAATGCTTTTTACTAAAGATCTCGTCTAGAAAGCCACGTTTTCGTTAAAAAATCTGAGCGATTGACATGATGAGTCTTTACGGTGTTGTTGTCGCACAATAACTCGTTCGCGTCTTAAGCTGTTATAGTCATTGGTGATGTTCACCAATGTTCACCGATGTTTAAGCTTCTGTTTGATGTTCACCAATGTCCAATGTTTTTTTACTAAATATCGTTTAATTTTCTGTATGTTTAGCTTCTAATAAGTTGTATTGGATTGACGACCAACTCGCCGACGTCTCTACTCGATTTTATACGTCGGCGAGTTGGTGTCGGCGAGTTGGTCCGTCGGCGAGTTGACCGTAAACCGATATTGTCTTGTCACCCATGGGAGTTAAAGAGCTAAGTAAAACACTGAAAATACCAAGCTCAGAAGGCATTAAACAATGATTTTAAGAAGAATGTAGGTGTCATGCTTTAAAATTCCAGACATGGGCAGTGAGAATATTTTAGCAATGGACATTATTACATAATGAGCATAATAAGAATTTATATGGCGCACAGATATGAATGATCCAATACCCTTCCCTGGTATAATCTCTCCCACTGACATAGCACCACGGTTTCTATAGAAACTTACCCCCTTTATTCCAAAGGTTCCATCACCATGGAATATGACCTCAGCAAGTTGATAAAGAGGTCATAAGAAGTTAATTGTCAGGTGCATGCACAGTGCAAAGCCTCAGGCAGATACTGGTATAAACACAAGCTCAAAGGGGCTGTGTATTCTCCTAACCTTGGTTTCTGAATATCCATCCCACAAGGACAGCTGATTCTTTTGTAAAAAGTTAGCTCTTGGTTTGCTAAGGGAATAACTCTACAACAACAAAGCTCTAGAGCACTGACTAAGGGAAACCTTTGCCACACTTAGTGCAAGGAATGAAATGTTATGGGAACAGAAATGAACACACTACATATTCTTAACATAGATTTTGCCATAGAAATCAAAACACAAATACAAAAAAACTAAACATTCAGTAACAGGAGTCCTTTTTTGTTCTAATCTTGACCCACATTTAAAACATTTTTTGGTTATGGATGGATTTGCTCAGCAATGGTTTTGATCTATAACTAGTTAAAAATTAAAGATTTCAAATGACACATACTGCATGTACTATCCCATGTTTAGAAATGCTGTGTTTGAGTTAAAACCTGTCTTTCCTTTTTATACAGAAAAGTTTTTTTTCTCGCACAAAGGGCAAAGGCTCTGCTTAGAAATTAAGAAATTCTATTGACATGTACCAGTAAATAGAAGGAGATAAAGGAAAAGATCAGTTTCCTTATCTTTAGAAGTTCCTCTTTGAACTATTTACACTTAATTTTCTCAGCAACAGTTTGGTGTGGTAAGTATTCTCCTACAGTGTAAGTATAATATCCATTGTAAGAGGAGGACATTTTGGAGTTTAAATACTAGCATTTGTGGGTTAATTAGAAAAATCCGCTTTCATTTAGCTGAGAACTTCTTCAGATCATTTCACCAAGGCATTTAAATGTATAAGAACTGAGAATGGCCTTGATTTTCCTGCACAAGTGTTGACATGTAAATCTTCTGTTTTTGATGGTGAAAAGGTTAAATACCAAAAGAAACATCTTGCAATCTCCCAGATGAAAACTCCTTTTGAAGACCTCATAACAAGAACTATCGTAGAATTCGTCTGATATTCAATGAAAACATTACTAAATTCTGAAGCAACAGTGAACAATCTTACTCACTTAATCTTACTTGGATTTAACAATTGATTAATACTAATTAAAACAACACCTTCACCCTGATTAAATATGCCAACAAAACAACCTCTTGCTCTCTAAGAAAAGCAAATTAACTGTGTTTGCTCCAATCAGTCAATCAGTCTTTCCGCCTGGAAAGTATTTCTTCCATAATTAAAACAGATTTAAAATTTCTCTTTCAAAATATTAATATTGGCAACATGGGTTTAATTAAAAAATGGCTTATCTTTAAGGTGATGTCCAAGTTACATTCATCAAATTAAATATGATAAGTGTTTGCCATTAAACAACTTCCAAAGAGCGTAAAAGGATAGTTATTGCCCTGTAGAATTTTCAGGATATAGTTCATATTAATCTTTTGTACTATTCTCACAGAAGTATTTCTAGGAAGGCTTTTTCTACAAGGAAGGTGGTTACAAAAATGCAATCCTTCAAGGAAACTTTATATAACGACTTAGGGTGCATATTTGTAATAACATTTTCTACTTTGTATTTTTTGTAACAACACTGTTATCATGAGAATATTTTGGATAGTCTGATTTGTCACTGTAAAGTTAGTCAAACAACTTACAATTTGCCGAGTTCTCCGTCATCAATCTCCTGTGCGTTTCCCATTCCAATTATCCAATCCTCTTTGAATCCCTGTTTTTATCCTCATCTTTCAACTCTGCAAATCCAATAAAATAATTGATTAATAACATAAAACACACATGGTTAGTTTTCTTTTGGTCAGTTAGGCCATCTAGTATGTTTAAACTAGCACCACTGGTCCTATTAGAGTCCTTATAGCATAGCTTTAGTTGGTGTTAAAATAAAGAATTATTTGTCAAGCAACTTGTCAGTATAGGGCCACTTCCTTTAATCATTGCTCAAGGTTTCCCCAATGATTTTCAGAAAAACTGCCCTACTTTTAGAAATTGGTTAAGAAAAAAAATTTCTTGACTGTGATTAAAAAATTCTGATCAAGTATTCGAAAAGCGATCACTGATAACGACAACAGCTCTTTTCAAGACACCCCTCACTGACTAGCATACAAAATCTCCTTACAATATTACCACTGAATCACACATTTAATGTCATGAGAATAAAGGAAATGATCACTAACTAAAGAAATTCTTGATTGTTAGACAAATTCTCCTTGTCAGCACCTTAGTAAATGTACAGGGAACAGTTATGCATGCATTCTGAGTGGTTCTCACTTATGATCTATTGGAGGACAGACATATAGATGACATTATCATTAAAACTTTTTTAAATTCTTTATTATATAAAACAAATAGATTCCAAGTTGCCGTGCATTTTGACGTCATCTGTGATCTATAACGGAACAGATGCATAGCAACTTGAAATCTATTTGTTAAATTGATGTTAGGGTGTATTGAGGGTTAACTGTTAAAACTTATTTATCATTTAATTAATACTCTGTACAAGTAATTATTTGTTTGTCAGTCCACTTTACTGACTGTGGGGGACACAGAAGCTTAATGATCAGTGCACCTGATTCTGTGTCCAGAGGTTTGGGTTCAAGACCTAGCTGAATCAAAGTGTTGCCTAGGGTTAGGGTTAGTTGGTGAAGGTTAGTTCTTAAGCAAGAGACTTTTAATTACTTTCATAGTGCCTCTCTTCAACCTGGAGTACAAATGGGTACAGGGGAACTGACAAGGAAGCCTGATGAAATGTTGGGAGGTCACATTGTTATGGACTAACATCCCATCCAGGAAGTGGTTGTAATACTCCTTGTTGCTTCACACTACATGAAAACTGGGAAAAACTAAGTACTGAACTGTCTGGAACTTTTTGAAAGATGAAGGTCCATGTTTATTGTATTGAATATTACAGGGGAGAGGGATCATTTAAGTCATTTTACATAAAAATTTTCTAAGGGAAATTGTGGAATACAGTACTGTACTTGGATAAAAGAAACCAATGGGAAAGCAATAGATTACATTTGGGACTACTGCTCTGTTTAAGAACAAGATGAGGTTATACAGAAATGTTCCTTCAAACGGTAAGAAGGGGAGTTTAAGCTGAAAAGCCATCCATTGGGGGCATAGATATTTACTGGAACTAAGCACTGAGCACAATCAGACTGTGAGTTGGTAAGCTAGTTAGCTAAACAGGAATTCATGACTCGCACAATTCTACCTTGGCTACAATAATTTCAAAGTACGTTTGACCAAGAACCTGGAACCCCCAGGGCAAGAGAAAGAGGGGTCGTCCCAGGAACTCCTGGAGAAGAGGTGTAGAGTCCCAAATGAGAAACTGGGGCCACACTTGGGCCACTTTAGGAAGATTTGCCCAGGACAGAACCCGATGGAGGACGGAAGTGGTTAATGGCCTATGCTCCAACCGGAGCTAAGGGAATATATTAATACGTTTGCCCAAGGAAGGTATGTTCCTCCACTTTTCCGCTAGGTATCTTGGTGTAAGAACCTGTACATTTTTTTCTGCTTTGTCAGTGTTATTTTCCTAAGCCGTTTAGTGTTGTGACTTCCCCGTTTTCTAACAGGTTCCTCCACAAACGATGAGTTTGAAGCTGGTATCATTTTCGAAGTTCATTCATATAAAAATAATATCACACCTTTTGTGCATTCGTAAAAGCAAAAGAGCCTTGTGAGTTCAATGGAAGGTTATTTAACTGTAAGATTCCCGTTGAGCTGCATTTTGTTACAAAGTAAAGTGCATGTCTTACCAGGTTGGATGTAAACAAATCCTTCTGATCCAAGTTTCTGTAAACTTCTCCATTTCACCCTTGCTGAAAAAAAATTTCATTAGCTATTATTGATCAGAAAGAAACAAAACTCGTTCGAACGCTATAAATAAAAGGCAAACCTCAATAAAACGTGTAACTAAAGCCCCCACAATTTCCAGACATGCATGCGTTGTGTTTTATGTAGCAAGATCTTGTACCCAGGGGCTTCACGGTTCAAAACGTTAAGTCCCTGGGGGCGAAATTGCGTTCAACTTGGCGACTGAATGCAGACCGATTGTTACCGGTAGTCTTGACAGAATTGAAAGCAATTTTTGTGATGAGGAAAATTCTCAAAAAGCTTCACTCAACCGTGCCCGTTAGAGAACTCAATTTTCCTACTGGCCATCAATCTGAACATACCGGCAAGCACGGCTGCTTACAACATGAACAAATTTTTTTGAAAAAAAGTGAGCCCTTGATTTCAATGAACAGGAAAATAATTCATTTTTAAATCAGTTTCATTTAACTGAGCCTAGAAAGTAGCTGATAATTAGTCGTTGTTAAAATTATTTCTATCATTTCTTCCGTATATCATTTCAAAAATTAAAAAAAAAACGATTTCTGAAGGTTCAAATATCGTCTGAGTGACTTTTAGAGCGACTTCATACCGCTAGGTTATCGTTTTAAAATTTGCAGGGTATTTCAGTTACTAAATGGACAGATGAAATATAGCGAATCAATAAAGTTCTGGCGCTACTATCAACTGAGCTAAGAAGTCACATGTTGGGAGCAAGGCACATTTTGGTGCATTCGTCGTTCTTGTAGAGGAATCTGAAAACTTTTGATCCGTTGTTTACTTTATTTCTGTCGTTGCTCCTTTCCGAATTCTTTCGAAGCTCAGAGCTTTTTCCTTACTCGAAGGAAGCTAATGCTGGTATCCCACCAGTTCATTTCCTTGTGGAAGTGCCAGCGTAAATCATCGAATTTCTTTTTCACGCATGTCAAAAATAAAAGGCCTGAATGATATGTAATTATTTTCAGTACAGACATAGGATTACGGAAGCCGATTGAAAGCGCGGATTAAGGTAATTAATGATCTCAGACTTAAGAAGTTCTTGATCAATAAATTAATTCTCCTGGTCAGTTGCGGGAAATGCATTGAGAACAGTGTGGAGAATATGAATTCTGATGTCAGGGTGTAAAAGGGTAATATAGGTAGCAAGTACTTCTGGCACAGGGAGCAGGGGAGTTGCATTTGACTTTACCACACAGCTGCAGCGCATCTTGATCGTGTTGATCAACCGTCGTTACCCGCGTGTATTGAAATCCACACGCTTTTCAGTGGCTTTCACGTCTTGAAAGCAAAGCTTAAAATGTTCTGGTAATAAAATCATGACATTCGAAAATGAAACCAGAAATTCTGGTTTCCGTTTCCAGCTCTGTTTTCTTCAAATGACATGTAATCTCCATATACCGTATTTATTCGCCTATAAGCCGAGCGATTTTTCCAACAAATTAAACTGAGAACAGGTAAATTCTTGCCAAGGTAGGGGGTTCGGCTTATAGCTGAGTATTTTCGCCAAAAAAAATTTACGGGTGCTTAACAAGATTCGAAATTTGACAACATGAAAAACTGGCCAATCAGAAGCGGTCATTCCCATGGTTTGTGTAAACATTGCAACACGATCTGACAGATATCAGCTGATCGAAGCTTCTCATTGTTTTAAAGAAACGAAAGACTTACCTTGACTCCTCTGCTCTGAAAACCAGTCCAGTATTATTTGATCCAATTCAGGATACTTTGGCGAAAAGCAGCCCATCGTCTTTCGCTTTGCTGACATTTTAAGCTCACCATTAAACAGGTTCGCTTGATCTTTTCGCCAGCGACACACCATCGATTCACTGATTCCGTAATCTCTAGCGATCTAGAATGATCTATGTTTATTCATAACCTACTTTTTGGTTGCATGTTTTCCGAGATGGAAGCTCCTTTTGTTTTCGGTTTATGTTAATTCATCTCAGTTAACGACACGCGTGGAGTACTTTGCAATTATTAGGTCTCGGCTTATAGCCGAATGTTTTGTGTTTATTTTTTATTTCAATGCAACAGCTGCTGACATGAAAAAGTTTAGGGTCTCGGCTTATAGCCGAGATCGGCTTATAGGCGAATAAATACGGTAACTGCCTGTCTGTACAAGAACACTGTGCATGTTACATGTTCATTTTAGAGACAATTACGTTTTCATCTAGAATCAGCTGCTAGAGAAAGTTTGATCGCGGATATATTTTTTTCTAGCATTGACGACCATACGTACAAATTCGGGTGCCCTACTCACTATGGCGAACGAGACGGTCGCAAGTTAGAGCGCTACTGGGAAACTGTTGGAAGTCGAAGATTCATTATTCTGAAGCTAAGGACTACATGTTCAGTCTCAGCGGGTCCAACAAAATATTTTGATATCTATCCTGATTAGGTTAATCAACAATTAAAGGACACATTTAAAATTTTCCCGAAGGTTTTTTGACTGTGACATATTCTCCTGTTTTACCTTTTCATTCAGAATCGTTTTCAAACGAATATCAGTGTCACAAGGCAAACCGGTTTGGTTCTGTTTTATTCTTAGTTATGGCTGAAGATAAAGTTTTGCAATCAAAAGAAGAACTTGGTCTGAAGAGCGAGAGTTCCTCAGGTGAGAGAAAACATATTTCAACAAATTGTAGCATGCACTTAGGGGAAAGACGGACAAATATATTTAATTTTAAACGAGGATAAAGATGAATTTCTATCACGGCGTTGCCATCAACAAATGGAAGAGAAATTACAGGTTTCACACCTTGCGGACCTAACCGCTTGTTTTGCTGCGATGTTAGAGGTAGTACGTGCAGGCTATCCACTGAACTTTGGAACCAGCCAGTTTTTGCTGAAGATTTACCCTCTGAAAGTCTATCGCTACGATGTCGATTGTGAAGACAGCGATGACGATCATTCAAACCTTTTTTTTTTTTATTTTCGATTTGGGGAAAATTCAAGTTTCATCATTTGGAAATATAAAAGATTTAGAGATCGGCAGTTCCGCAAGTACAGAATAAAACTGTAAATAGTATGGAAGTATATTGTAATCATAAATCTGGATTATTAATTAAATTTTGGTTTGAAATGAATTAACAGGCAGCCACATCTAATTCAATGATCTAATGCTTGAGAACTCAGCAGCAATAAAAAGCAACAATCACGAACAAACAGGGGTGGAAAAGGGTGCAATTATTATTCTTGATCATATTTGACGTTCTAGGGAGGTTAATTTCTATGAATGTATTATTCTTCATTGTTTAAAGGAAAAGTCCAAAGCACAACCCAATGTGTTTGATTCTTTCCTAATTTTTAGCTACTTCGGAAGGGAAAGATTCAGCAAACCAAGAAAAGGTGAATTTGGAGGATGAGCTTTTATCAGTTGAGAGAGATGAAACAAATTAATTGCACTTCTCAAGTTTGTGAGTGAAAAAAGACCTATGAAAATAAATGAAACACAAACAACTGAATCATTACGGCTAAATGTTTCCTTTACTTAAAATAAAATATTCTTCTTTACCATTCCAAGGTCAATCTGGATTCAAGAAGGAGTCAGATGACGATGATGGAAAATCAACAGGTCCAAATAATTAGAACAAACGCGGAGTGTGTGTTAGCTTAAGCGTCAATTAAACAGTGGGAAACACGTTGCAAAGCAAGTCAGCTTTTCGAATATTGAAGAGGAACTGATCACTTTTTGAGGGTCAATATTTAGGATAGAATAAGGAAGAAATTATTTTTTAACCGAAACCGGCACGATAACCATGCGTTTTACATTTTTCACTTTCCAATTGAAACTGATTTGGGCTTTAGATATTTTTACACTTAGGGGAAAAACCTTGCATATATTAAGAGATAAAGAAAACAAAAGTCATGAAAAATCACGAGTATTATAACTATTTACATGTATTGAGGGTCCCAATGGGGTTACCGTTAGCCGTAAACGGCCAAAATATTTAGCCGTTAGACGTAAACATTGACAAATTTTAACCGTTAGTCGTAAAAAAAGTTAACCGTAAAAATATCTCTGGTCGAAACAATGGAAAGGTGTTAACCGTTAGCCGGAAATTGGCCAAAATTTTAACCGATAGCCGTAAAAGCCATCACCCCATTGAGACCCTCATGTATTGGTATTTTAGTTGGTCAACAGGCCTCCTCAACAGCAGCTGTTGGAAGCCTGGACTTTGCTGATAACGGTTTATCAGGTGAGAAAAAAGAAACAAGCATCTTTAGATTTCTTTTTAGAATTAACAATAACAAGACAACTAGAACTGAAATTTTGTCAACTATCAACTTAGTTGATAGTGAATCAGAGCCATTCGCTCTGACGAAGAGCTAATGCTTGAAATGTCAGCTTTAAAACTCTTTACGGTTGCTAATTTAAGTTATCAACTCAGTTAATTACCCTGTTATACTCTCCCACCGACGTAGCACCACAGTTTTTTTAGAAACTTATCCCCTCTACTATTATGTCAACTATGATTAGTAAAGCGAATATTCTTGGTACCTCGACAGTCTAACAGACCAGTTATCAATCGCATTATCACAAGTTTAGTCCATGAGTTGCCTCCTTGATCAGTTGATGACACAAAAAAGAGTGAAAACCATTTCGTTGTAATTTCATTGACAGACAAAAGTGAAGCTACTCCTGTTGAGAAAAAAGTGGATATGAAGGATGCTCCTTTTGTAGGTAAGTTAGGAAACACAGACAAATCAAAGTCCTTAAAAGCCTGAGTTAAATGGAATTTAATATACAAAGATAATTTTCTGAAAATCACTTGCGCGCGTATTTCACCAAGTATGTGGGGTGACTGGGCGGACTGGATTTTGACCAAGGAGTTTTTGACTATTGCGTTACCGAGACGAAGTCGAGGTTTATAAATCGAAAACAAAAAGAGCTTCAATTTACACTATTACATGTTACCCCGTGTTGAAATCATTTATTGTATTACGTTCACTTGGACGACAGAGCGAAAGACTTACGAACGACTACATCACCTACGCAAGCACTGTCAGACGAATACGACAACAACTCTGGTTTTATCACCGCTGTGAAGATCACGGCCTTGTTCCGGCTTAAACTTAAGTCCCCGTTGAACACATAGGACGCCATCCAGATCGTCAAGGCCACCTGCAGACGACTGGTCAAAGCGCGGATAAATGATTGCCACAGAAGAATCAAACGGTACAAAAACACAACACAACAACTACACGACAAAATTAAACAATGATATCGCTTTGGTTACGTTGACGATACTTTCACCGCCGTACGACACGACGAAATCGACGCATTCTGCCACCACCTTAACGAACAAAACACTGACATACAGTTTACTTGAGAGGTCGAAGAAAATGGTAAACTACCTTTTCTAGACTGCCTGGCAAGCCGTGACGACAACTCATTGCGGATAACAGTTTGCAGGAAACCGACAGATTACTGGACGAGTCATCCTACAGCCCAACATCACACAAAGCCACAACTATCAGGACTCTTACACGACGAGCGCAACTAGTATACAACACGATAGACAGCTTATCTGACGAGAACAAGTACCTTGACCGTGTTTTTTCTAAGAACAACAACGACGAAGACTTCGTCCAACGTAACACTCACCGATCTACTACTACTACCGAAGCTAGCGACAACACAACTCCTACGACTACAGCAACTATACCGTACATAAAGGGCATATCTGAGAACACCTCGCGCATCCTGCAACCATTCAATATCCGCGTCGCTCACAAAACTTTTACCACACTACGTCAGTTACTGACTAGCGTTAAAGACAAAGACGAACCGAGAAACAGGGAGAGAGCAAGGTATATGATCAATTACTCCGACTGCCAAGCCTCCTACATCGGTGAGACTGGCAGAAACCTCACAACTAGACTGACTGAACACAAACGAACAACGAGGAAAGGCGATGTCAACAATCGCATTGCTGAACACCACCGACTTCCGAACCACACTATTCACTGGGACTCTGCGCAATGCCTAACCTGCAGCGCCAACTACTTTCAACGACTGACCCTAGAAAGCTGGTTTACCAACTTGGAACAGACTCCCCTCAACAGGTGTCAGTCACTACCGGAACCATACAAACGACGCATTCACGACATTAATATTACAAACGAACGAATAGAACGACCTAACTCCACTAACGGATCGAGACCGACCAATCACGTTGCTAAACGTCACCGACTTACGAACCACACTATTCACTGGGACTCTGCGTAATGCCTAACGTACAGCACCCACTACTTTCAACGACTGACCCTAGAAAGCTGGTTTACCAACTTGGAACAGACTCCCCTCAACAGGCGTCAATCACTACCGGCACCATACAAACGACTCATTCACGACATTAACATTACAAAGGAACGAACAGAACGACCTAACTCCACTTACGAATCGAGACCGACCAATTACGACCGACCTACGCCACTTGAGTCTTACAGCCAATAACATCACGGCAAGACTGACCAATCAGTTTATACAAACCGGACTAAGAACATTCGACTGACAACAACTATTCACTTGACTCTGATGATGACTTCCGCCTTTTTTCCATGACAAAGAGGATGATTCTATTAGATTAGAAAAGTCTGATCAAGATAGAAAGTCTAACTGAACTCCCTCAGAGGGCCAGTCCGCATCTTTAGATATTTTTAATTAAATAATGTTTTCACCAAGTAGATAGCAATAAATGAAGTCAGTGGGCATTGATTACAACAAACGCCATGAAACAAACATTAAAATAAACAAACAATGGATCATTAACTAAAAGTGTTCTTAGTTTAAAGGTAAATGATTGTTTTTTGTTTCATGGTTCAAGGCCAAATGGTATTAAAGAAGGAATCAGATGGCAATGATAACAAATTAATAGGTATAAGTAATAAGTGTAACACTCAAACAGTTTGAAAGCCTACATCTGTAGGAAGATTATCCAAAAAAGAGCCTTGAATCATTTTTGTTTAAAATTGAGCAAAATGACTATATTTCAATTGCGACATTGGTCTGCACAGTTTCCGCAATTTCAAAGCACTCTATGATTGTTTACAAGTACTTGTAACGTTAAACAATTTCATTGTTTTCCTCGCACCTTGTTACTTGATCTTAAATGTTTACGCGGCTAAGAAGCCGTTGAGAGACAAGTGTTGTAGAAATTCACCCAAGAAAACTTTTTACCAAAAGGACAGTTGTAGTTACTTCAAATGAAACGTTTCCAGACAATTGAGCGACCACTTCCTCGATACTGCCTTTAGTTATACCAACAAGTTCAATTGCAGCGTCTTCAAGAAACCGGGGAAACTACCAACACATTGGAAATCTGAGGTCCCTACCAAGTGGAAAAGGAATTGTATTACTGGCGCACTCCATAGAGCCAAACGCATCTCTACCGATTTTGACAAGGACATAAAAACTCTAGAAACTTCTTTCATCAATGCAGGTTATCCGAAACGTTTTATTTCACATACAATCAACAACTTTCTAAACGACTCGTCACAAGATGACAACTTAATTCCGAATTTTCTCTTCGAAGAACGAAAGAAAGTTTTCGTCAAGCTTCCTTTTTGCGGTAAAAACGAAAAACTCAGTAAGACGTTTATTGAAAAACTAAACAAGTTTACTAATTTCAATTTCATCTTTATAATCCAGTGGCAAACAAGGCAAATCAAAAGCCTCTTTAACAACAAAGACAAAAACACTCACAGATCCAAAGTTGTTTACAAAGGTGATTGCTCTTGTGGCGTTGATTACATTGGCGAGACTGTGAGAAACTTAGCAGTACGAATTGCGGAGCATTCAAATCCTGCTCACACGTCTGAGCCTGCAAAACACCTGCGGGAAAACCCATCACATTCTTTCACTTGGCGTGTTCTCTCCTCAGCACAAACATTCCACAAGCGTAGGATCGTCGAGGGACTAATGATCCAACAATTCCGCCCCAGTTTGAACAAACAAGTTATTTCTTATGTCTCCAAACTTTTCCCATCGGGAATTACATAAGATAGATATGTACGTGTGGACGGTCATCTTTTTTTTTTAACCCTGATGATGGCAAACAGCCGAAAACGTTTGGTTTAAACATTTTTTAATTTTTTAACCTTTTTAGCCTTGTATATAGAATACATTTTACAAAGCGAACATTATGGACAATTACTTTTTTAAAAGACAGCTTCTAAATGGTTCAGCCATATCACTGTTGACAGCAATCAGAGTCCTGAAATTGAAGTAGCAAGCTCTAAATACTCTGAAAAGAGTAGAGAGAAGTTGCTAAAAATGCCTGGGGTGTGTGTTTGATGGCTCTTTTTCCATGATCCCCAATTATGTACTTTGGCATAAGGTGGAATATGTGTATTATCATTTATGTAGCTGTTTTACAGAATAAATATAGGAAAGAAAACAGACTTTTCTAAAATTAATTCCTCATTCAATTTAACTTAATTAATTAATTTAATTTAACATAATTTTAATTTAACATAATTTATATAGCGCTAACTCCACTAATTGACCAAAGCGCTTAAATAAGTTATAACTTGAATATTATACACACCCACTCTCGACAGTCAGCTTTATATCAACATAATTTATTGATTAAACAAATTTTTTTCAATAATCTTATCATCATCACTCAAAAACTGATATTTATTTTGCTAAGAAAATGTTAAAAAACAAATTATTTTTTTCTTAAAATTTTAACAGGAGTGATTCTTCTTATTTCAAGAAGGCTGTTTAAATCTTACAAAATGGTCTTATTCAAAGACTACTTTTGAAAATTTTCTTACACCTGGTAATGATGTGGTAAAATTTCCGCACAGCCCCATACCCTTGTAAAACAAATCTGTTTTCCCAATGGCAATGTATTGTTTTTGTCATTGTTTTCTCAATCCAAGAACTGAATGCATAATGTAGGATGGGGCTGTGCGGAAATTTTACCACGGTTTCAATCGTAGTGTAAGTAAGTATCGTTGCACTTCTTTAACTTGAGGTTGTATCCATCGCATACCATAAATTTAAGTAGGAAAGTTTAATGGCTCTTTTAAAAAAATCACATTTAACTCGCCTTCTCTCCTGATTTTGTTTGTGGAATTGAGCTGTATCCTCTATCGGTGTTGAGTAAGCGTTGTTTTCTGCTGTGTTTTCTGCATTTTCCTGTCCATTAGACAGTCCGTGAATAGCACAGCATGACAATAAATAATATATCATTAGTTCCGTCTTGGTAGGTTTCATTTTCACTAACAAGGAATTCAGTCAATTCGCACTCTTCACAAGAGCTCTCCGTTCGAACTCCGGTGTTCTCCTTAAATTGTCAACACTTCATGTCATTGTCGACGTGGATCACGAAAGATTTCATTTAAATTCAGTTTCACGGAGTAATATCACGTTGCCTCAAAGTATGTAATTGACCGCTAAACGTAACTCTTTCCTTCCAATCAGCTTACAGCAAGATTAGCAAAGTATCCTACCCACCCCTCCCCCCCCTCACTTTCTAAGTCAGCCTTCGGTAATAAGTAGATGAAGTACTTATCACAGTTTTACAGAGTTATTGGGTAGGAGAAAATATTCTTCAACAGGAGAAAACTAACTGTGGCGAACTTATATTTTTGTCCGGTATCGTGGCCACAGCATATATTTGTAATGTGTACCGGTGTTGGAAGTTTAAGGAAGGCTGGGGAAAATAATACATATCCTACCAACACTTTCTAAGGTACATGTTTACTTTCGAGAGTACTGAGTAGAGCCTTGTAAGTAGTGGTGTACTTGAGAACTTAGTATGATAACCCTGTTAAAGACAAAACCTGATGCTCAGAAATAAAACGACACAAAGTTTCTGCTGCCACTGTTTCTTCGTCACGAAATAACGAGAGTACCAAATGTCACCCCATACCCCCTCCCCCAGTGAAGACATTTTTTTTCGCGGGTAATTTCGCGGAGTTCATGAGAAAGGATCTGGGGACTACAAAACATTGACGCCTTGCAAGTTTGGCTATGGCTGAATTTAGAGTTACCTCTACGAAGGTAACATAAAAATGGCCCCTCAGATGATTTGTAAACTTGTTGTTAACATCTTCAAAAATGTCTGGAGATCCTATATGGGAGATTTCTCATCAGTTCACTCTGGTGGCATCTCTGGAAGCCGCCACTCGCACAGAAAGACGGGTAGGAATACATGTATAAAATTCCAGGTTCATGTTAACGTTGGATGTTATCTGTCAGGGCGAAGAACATCGTAACTAATGGTTCAGTCAGACTACATGTGAGGAGTAGGTCATCGAAGGGACAATTTCATTGATAACAGTGGCCCATTTGTAGCGAACAATTGTATGTGCGCAGTCTAATGAAAAGCTACAATTCGGTGAGAATTTCTTCTAATTAGGAGATCTGAATTCTATATGAGGTCGTCAACCGGATTTTTTTCTTAAGTTTTAGGTCCAATATGACGACTGCTCTTTTTATCCATCTAAATTTCACTCAACGCTTCCCATTAGGATTGTTGTTCTGTTGGGAAGAAATGCTTGTATGATAATTCTTTTTGCGAAGCATCCGGCTTTCTTGATATCACGGTGGAACTTAAATACTGTATCTGCACAGAATTTTTATCACACAAATTGACTGTGAGTACGAAATTTCTATCCCATGATGGTTGTCGAGGGCGACCTCAGAATCAAGTATCACACATAAGGAAGTTCACAGGGAATGACGTAATTTTTTTAGCATAAATCTGCTATTTTTTCAAGAATTAACATTACAACAGGCTTGTTTTTATTTGAGTATGATGATATAAATCTCATATAGGGAGTACTGTAGCCAAACAGACTACAGCATTTGTTATAGAATGCCAGTAGATAAATACAAATTTCTGTGAGATTTTTGTGTAGAGGAAAATAATAATCACAGGAAATTTAATGAATGCAATCATAATGAATTGAAGGGGGTTGGGAGATAGGTGAAGAGAAAAGAAACTGGTGGTGGACTTCTTGTGAGATGCAAAATTCTCAAGAATTGGTGAATTATCCTTATTTGGCCTTATAAAAACAATAAGAAACAAAATTATTTTTTCCATGAGTTACAAATTAGTTACCTTTCTGTTATAAAAGAAAACTGCATTTAAGGTCATCCAGCATTGTTTCCTGTGTATTGCTGATTTCATTGCATAGTGAATCATGTACCATTAACGAAAACTGTCTTCAGTTTATAATTGAAGATTGCAAGACTTTCATGTTTTAAGTTAATTAAAATAATTGTCTGTTTGGGTTTTAGAATGCTGCAACTAACATCCTTCTGCGGTTGCGTTCATTACAAGTCTTGAGTATCATTGATGAGAACACTGATCTAAAGAAGAAGAAAGCTTTGACATGGGATAATGCTTTCAAGAATGTTGGAATATTTGTTGTGTCTGAGTTGGATTACATCAAGAACCTAAAAACTATTGAAAAGAGACAAAAGGTAAAATAAGAGGTGGTAATTTAGTGCTAAAAATGTAACAGGATACTCTTTGCAATTACAAGTCATGAATAAAAACATTAGTTAAAGGTACATGTATGACAGTTGACTTTTTTTTGTTTTTTTTTTGAGAATCTTATCATACAAAGCATCTGCAATGAAGCATCCCTAATTCATAGCACACAATGTATAATTAAATAGCTGTTAATATCAGGGTTCTACTTTCTAGGAAATTGTAACTTTTGTGCGAGGTTTCTTGAAGAAAGCAGATGAGCGTAAGTTTCTTTTCTTCAGTTAAGTTACTATTCTTGTAGTCTTAAATGCCAGAAGTTGAGTCTCTTAGCTTGTGATACATGTTTGGTATTGGACTCTGAATCTGATGTAACCTTTTTTGTATTAGGCATACATGTAGAAGATTAGGTTCATTTAGTTTATTTATTTTACTTTTCAATCAGTTCTCCTTTTTTGGTAAGTTGTACTTTACAGCCCTTCAGAGAATTAAGACCAGACATGCATATCATGAACTTTTCAGGGGGTCCTCGTTTGAAGGCAGAAGATGTAGTATGTCATTTTATGAAGATATTCAAAGAGCCTAGGTATGCTAGCCAGATGGGTCTTGAGTACTGCAAGCAATTAAAGAACATCCTGACTGTTCCATTATATCAGCGTGACATTACCAAGAAGACATGGAAAGGTATGAGAATTCTTGGGACAGTGTTTCTTGACAAAAGTGTAATCTTAAATCTTAGTTTAAAGTATCAGCTTATAAAACATTGGTTAGGGACTATGGGGTTGCAATAGAGTTTGGGTGGGAGTACTGCATTTCTGACAGGGTTAATAACTATTATTAGTGGTAAAAAATAGCAAGAAATTTCTCTGTATCTTGTTAGGAAATTTTTAATCACCTTAGAGACCACAACTTTATTATGGTAGGTCAGTCCTAATTGTGAAATTTTTTTAATGAGATCAGAGTTCTAAAAATACCATTATGCTTGCACTGGTAACTGGTTATAAGTGATTGTTTTCCCCCTTGGTAGAGTTTCAGTGTCACTGAATTTTGAGAAATTTATTGTCAAGTCTATTTATTTCCTTGTGCTCTTGTTAGAATTGATTCCTACATTTGTGTCCTTTATGGAGGAAAAACCTTCTTGGTTGTCAAATGGACAACTAACAGTGGCACAGATTCTTAATCTCTTGGTTGAGGGAGCAGCAACTCTTTACACACTGACGGGAAGCCAACTCTTTAAATTTTTTGAAAAGATCTTAAAGGGGATTTGGTAGGTTATTTGTCATGATGAGTAAATGTTAATTTTACTTCAAGATTTAAAGTGGCAGCATGTTGGTTACTGGATTTGAAGCAAACTTAGTATTACTGGTTTAATATCTACTCAGTTGATAATGTAAGCTCGCCACTATAAAGAGTTCCTAATGCTGACATTAATTTAGCAGCAAAATGATCAAAATGTCAGTCTTAGAAACTCTTTACAGTGGCCAATGCATGTCATCAACTCAGTCAATAAAACCAAATTATCTTGTTATACCTCCCACTGATGCTGATATTTTTATCTCTTCTTGATTAATAAGTTCTCAAGATACTTACCACCTAAACATTTATTTTACTTCTGTTACCATTTGTTTCTTTCTCTTAACTTTTTCTTAAAGGAATGATAATAATATTGTTATTGTGGAACACTTCCTTGCTGCACTGAATGCTTTTGTTAAATCAAATGGAGATGACTGTCGTGGCCAGGTCTGTCATCTTGGAGAAAGTGTGTTTCCTTGCTTGCTCACAATGTGGAAAAGAACTCGGGGTGTTAACTCGTCCTTGAAGGTACAGTGTCTTAACCTCATTAGTTATTCTCCTTACTGTCTGCCTTACAATTCTTCTGATGTTAGTTAAGAGAATTTGATATTGGATCAAGTGATAATCTTTTATTTGATATTTTTCTTTATTCTCATCACTTGCCTGCTTGTTATTAATTATAAGGAGAAATTATTTCTTGATCACCTATGGGAGTTAAAGGGTTAATTGTATCAAATATTTCCATAAACTGATTAGGGTGCCTTAGCAAGGGTTATTGAAACCTGGGAAATTACAGAATTAATTTAAAAATTTTTTTAAACCAACTTGTTGATTGAAGGTCATGGAGGTATCCGCCGCTTTCGCCCCCTATCAAGTTCGCCCCTTCGAGTTCGCCCCTACCTTATACCGTGTTCGCCCCCACACTTTTCGAGTTCAACCCCACCAAGTCGAGTTCTCCCCCAGATTGAGTCATGTCTAAATTAGTTGCTATCGAACATTGCAAACAAGTTAGAACCAAGACAAGTTTTGAATTTTAATTGACCGACAACCATTTTGAAAGTTTATATGTGTGTGGGAGCTAGGGAGACGAAAACGTGGTTTGCGATCCTGGTTTGCATTTTCTCAAGTCTGGTTGCTATGACCTTAAAACACAATGAAGTGTGCAACACATTCTCTCAAGAAGTCTTAAATAATCAAAAGCGTGATCAAATCGTGGTTTCGTAAATTCTTCAGTCTTGATTTCATAAATAAAGCTAAATGAGGTACAAGTCTAACAACTTAAGCAATGCTGTCGCGATGAAAGCGTGGTTTGCATCTTCTCAAGTCTGGTTGTTACGATCGACACATTTCATGTTCGTTAGATAAACCCAGGTTGTTTTACATCTTTTCCAGTCTGAATAATAAGCTAAGCAAAATGGTCGTCGCTGACGTGACATTTGGCACATTCTGTTAGTGCCTTCGTCACAAATCAACTCATCTGGATATCACTCAATCAAGGGGCGAACTTGACTTGATGGGGTTGAACTCGAAAAGTGTGGGGGCGAACTCGATAGGGGGCGAACGCGGTGCAATTCGTCATGGAAAGTGGAAATTATTTAAAATAGTCCTGAAAAAGGTCTTTGAAAACTTTGAGTATGATTTTAACTTTAAAGAGTACAAACCTATTTGATATTGCTTTCCAGTTTATATTAGGTCACTACTTTATCCCCTTTTTTCATAAGGAACTTTGAAAATTATCTGTAACACCTAGATTGCACAAATGAGGGAGTCACGGAACAGCTGACAGTCCTAAAGAATGTTAAGTCAAAGATAATGGCTCTCAAAATAGAGATTCAATCTGTATAAGTGAGCAAGCAATAATTCTCTCGTCCTGCTCTCTAGAAAAGAACCTTCAGTTGACAGATCAAACAAGCAGCAGGGTATTAAGTAAAATATTTTTGCATTACAAATTTGTGTTTTAGATGGAACATCTGTACAAAATAAATGTTTCAAAATTGCAGGATCACCTGATACAGTTTATGAGACTACAGATTTGTGCACATCATCCTTTTGGAGCTCACGAAGATAGTGAAGGGGGCTGGAGCAGTAGTGTCAATCATTGGAAGGTTTGTTTTATTTATGTGTTTATATCACATCATCTTGTGGTCCAAAGTCCCAATGATGAAGTGTGAGGGAGAAAATTAAAGCTTTGTTAAATGTTGTAAAATTACTAAGAATTTTCTTCTTCAAAAAAGGTCAGTCATCTCATGTTAAGTGGACATCAGGCCACATTTGTTCAAGAAAGGATAAATTTATCTGCTAGATAGTGATTAATCTAGCAGATAAGAAGTTATCCAGTCATAAAATAACTGGGGCCTGTATGAGAGACATTTTGCTCTTTTTTTTTCTTTTATCTGACTAGGAATGTCTCCAAAGATTGTATGGAGCAGTTATAGCTGATATAGATCAGTTAAAGAACAAAGTGTCACGTTCCTCTAGGTATGTACTTAGTTACACCAACTGTTTTTAGTGCAGCTACTCTTACCAGGGTTAGCACTTTGTCATGCACTCTGATGAAGGGGCTAATGCTCAAAACGTCAGCTTAGAAACTCTTTATGGTGACCAATTTACATTTATTCAGCAACTCAGGTTATGATACCAAAATTATCTTGTAATACTCCCCACCAACACAGCATCTTTGCTCCTACCAGGGTCATGTAAATGACATATTTATGAAACTGTCATTAGAAAAAAACACTGTGATACTAAAAAAATTGATTAAGTGAGACGGAACTTAGCAGCAAAGTGAAAAAGATGACAAATACCTCACAGAGATGAAAAGACAGGATTACATGTGATGAGGATTGTTTGAATTTAGCAGAGATATGGTTATCTATGGGTTAGAGCAAAGAGGTTGAGAAGCCAGGTCAAGTGTGTTTTTGGTGATATTTTTATTATATAGTCTGTAACTAGCTTATTATCTGAAAGAAAATTTATTTCCTTGCACAGTATCAAATTGGATCCTGGTCTTACTTTGCAATTTATTGAGCTTGCTGCTGATGTCTTCCATCAGGTGGATATAGAATTTTATATCACATATGGTTGCTGCATGTTGAAATCCCAGTTGCATGACTTTGTCTTTCTTTTGGATGATATACAATCATGTAATAGCTCTACAAGACACTACAATGAGGCCTTCATCAATGAGTACAATGTAGTTCAAAATATGTATACTTGTAGGATGTCAGCAAACTTGTCTTTTAGTTGCAGGTGAGCTGATCTCAGTTGTCAGCAAGCTGCTCTAAGTTGGGTATTTCTAGTGAACATTAAATTATTTTTGCTCAGAAAATGGTGGGTTTGGAAAAAGTTAGGCTCTCAGCCCTGAGGTTTGGGAGAGAAACATTTCCTTCTTGCTTCTTGCTTCAGTACTTACTGTGAGTCTGTGTTAACATTATACAATGTGATTTTTGATTATTAGGTGTTCTGGGGGAAAACAAGTTATCATAGTGTGAATCATGTACAGGATGTTTCATCTGAACCAGGTTTGGCTTATTCAATCTGATTTAGAATCTTGCAATATATATTTATCATGTCCTACATGGTATAAACATTTTTTTTTGGTGTGTGTGTCCAGCTTAGGCTAAATGTCAGTAATAGGAAAGATTGATGGCAAATTGATACTAACAGTGCTTTTACATAATATGTTTATGTAGAGGCATAACCCAGTTCTTTCACTAAAGTTGCTTTGCTACAATGTAATTTGCTTGCTTTGTTTCCCTTTTCTACCCCTCTTCTCTTTTTGGCAAGCATTCATTCCACACACTTGCTTATTGGTGATGTGTTGACAGCTGCCTGGAGATTGGCTCTAGCTTGGTTGCTATGGTCACCCCCTGGCTGCTGATTGGATTGATACCCTCCTCTGTTGCCCATTTCATAACACCTACCTTCCGGTGCTTTTCATGAAGTGTTCTAATTTATTTCGATCACTAGTTACAGTACAGTACTTTGACTTGTTTGAGCTTCAGACATTAAGTCCAAACTGTGCATGTTATTTAGTGATCAAAGTTGAGGTGATATATTCCTGTATCTGCCTCATTCTACCTTCTGTCTGGTTTAAGGAGCAAAACGGCAGAAAATTGAAGTTGGCTGGAATGTTGCAAGAGAAACTTTAGACAAGAGCTCTGAAAATTTGGTTTTGCTTTCATGGTAAGTTCTCTTGTAAGTAAGACCCAATCAAAGAATGTTAATTAAATCCAACACATG